TGGGAAGCCAAGCCAGGAGGATCCTACGTTTGAGCCCAGCCTGGGATACCTAGTGAGAGCCTGTCTTAAAAAAAATAAAGTAGACTGGGGATGTCACTCAGTGGGAAGGTCCTGGGTTCAATTCCTTCTACACACACACACACACACACACACACACACACACACACACACACACACATTACTATACATCAAAACCAAAGGAACTACAACCTTTTTGTTGTTGTTGAGGTAGGGTCTCACTAGACAGGTTCAGGGTGGCCTTAAACTCACTACATAGACCAGGCTAGCCTCAAATTTTCAGCAATCCTCCTACCTCAGCCTCCAAAGTAACAGAATTACAGGTGTGTGCCACCATGCCCGGCCTACAATCTAATTTTGATCATTTAATTAAATCAGTGGTCTAAATAAAATTTTCACCCCTGAAAATGTTCACTCATATTTATTATTATACATGTTATTACATCATGTTTTTATTACCACAACTTCAAAGGTGCCTAGAGCCCCCAGAAGATTCTCCATGTTATCTGTAACACTGTAACACCCACCCACCCAATACCCTGTTCTGGTCTACACCACAAAGATGCTCCAGATCAAGATCACTTCTTTCTGGATAAGAATTAGGCATTTACTATGAATGTGTTTGATGGTTTAGAACATATAAAACACAAAAGTATAAAATATGGTCTCCATCTTTAAAATGATAAAGTTCTAGATTGAATGAGAAGGACACAAGCAACAATTACTAGAGACAAGGCAGCAATTTCAATACTGAATGCTTGGCTCTAATCCACCAACAAGCGGCAGGAGATGCTACTGTATCCCATTAATAAAGCTTAGGGAAACTACTTTTGTGTTCAACTGCAATTTTCTGAAAGGCCACTAGATGGTGATATTGTTTTCAAAAAAAGTGTGTGGAGAGGGTGGTGGATGTAAACTATAGTTACTAAGTTTAAAATCCCTTATCCCTTGCCTCTCTCTCCTTACTGAATCATCATGCAGACATACAGCAGACTTTATTTTTGTGGTACTGGGCATTGTAACCAGGGCCTTCAGCATGCTATCAAAGGCTCTTTCTCACTGAGCTATATATATACCCTCCAAGCCAACATTTTTGGAGATTTTAAAAATACTTCACTTTAAAGTTGACAATAATGAATTCAGGGAGGTTAAGTGATTTGACCAAGATTCCATAACTGGTTTACACAATAATGCTAGGACTACAGCCAACCTTTCCTGATTAGAACTACTGGTTTTATGTTCTTTGGATTAGAAAGATAAATGAGGTAAATTTTAGTTTATGTGGAAAATATTTTCATAAGGATGATTCACAGAGAGATATTCCACCCTTTGGTAAAGCATTAGACCAATGACTTGCCAAAATAAAAACTCTAAAGGGGGAAATACTCTGGCTGAAAGGCTCAGAGAAGTTGTACGTGGATACTGAAAGATCAGCAGATAATGAAGATCTGCAGTTCCCAATGCTAAACAGGATTAAGTATGAATACTGATGCTCAAAATGAGAAAATGATTAAACTTTATAAACATCATTCTCTCCCCTTTTCCAACTCAAATCCAGCTTTTCTCTTTTGTAACTCCATAAGAGTGAAGATCTATATTGATCACCCCGAAGTATGAGCTGAAATTCCAGTTTTTCTCACATACATTTAAAAAAAAGCATGTCCAAAATCAACTGAGTAAGAAAGATATGGTAAACACTATATGGTGAAATCTGCTTTATTTTAAAACAAACAAAAATCTTTACAGTAATCCTTTAACACTTCGTAATCTACAGAAGCTACGTAGAAAATACTTCAGAGATTTAAAATTTGCATGGCTATATTATTGTAAAGCTTTCTTTTGCTTTCTGCTTATAATAACAAAGTAGAAATATACATTAAAAATTGCCTGCTTACTACATATTGATTTCAAGATATACCTAACATTTTAGGAAAATGCAATAATTCTATGAAGGCAGGCTGAATTTAAATTCAATGTTAAAAAAATGAAAAAAAGCAATGTTATTAAAATTCACCAGAACAAAACATATTTTGAAGGCATTCTATAATTTTATTATAATTAACACATATTAATTGTACAAATTAATGGGTTTCACCATGGCATTTCCATACATGCATACATCATGCTATGATTGTATCCATCCTCCCTACTCTCTTTTGCCTTTCCTTCATCCTCCCTCACCCACCATGTCTCAAATCCCTGATCCTCTTTCTCTTCCTTAACAGTATTCCTACTTGTGGGCTTTTTTTGTTGCTGTTATTGCTGTTAAGTTTCCACACACAGGCATTCGATAATATGAAGGAAATTTCTCCAATGACTTTTAAAGACATCAGAATTATTCTAAAGAAGGGAAGTTTAAAGAAAAAAAAAATATATATATAGACGGTTTGAGACTAGGAGAGTATTTGCTTATCAAACAAAATAGTACACCAAATTTTCTCTTATAAATTTGACTGAGCAGAAAAATTCAGTATACATTACCTGAAGATGCAAAGTTATCAGATTTTAAATGTCCTGCTTTTCTAAACTCAAAATTTCTACATTAATCCAGCAGGGCAACGGAGACCATGGCCCAGTGAACTGCCACACCTCTGACACTCCAATGGAACCCAACACTGCATTTTAAAATGAAAATCAATGGGAAAATGGAGTTTGATATATACAAGATGGCTTTTCAGTAAATTTTTCTGAAACATATCTATTCCAAATGTGCATGAATATCTGCATTAAAAGAACTTATTAGATGGAAATAGTAATTAGGTGTTGTTCATCTTCTCTGAAACCTAACATGAAAATAATAAAGAAACTCATATTTAAGTACATTTAAGTATGACAGACATATACTTGTATTAAGAAAAACTAGTTATAGTGAGATCTCAATTGATCTCAGTAAGTTAACAGAAATAAGAATTTCTGCCAAAAGAACAGCCACAGATGTAGTCATTTGAAAAATGTCATTTCAAGTGAAGTTTCAGATTAAGTGCAAATTAAAAGAATTTTTCCTTCAATTTCTGCTAAGGGGTATTATTATATATGATGGAAAGAGTAAAAAACGAGGAGTAGAAAGTCTTAACCTGTATGTCTTTGGCTGGGCCAACTATCTTTTATTTTTAAGTCATTTATTTAATCCTTCACAATAGCAAAGATTTGAAAACAATATTAAATATCCACCACCAGATGAACAGATGAAGAAAATGTAGTATATATGCACAGTGGAATACTATTCTACCTTAAAAAAAGAAAAGGACGGAACATACCACTGTTTGTGACAACATAGATGAATCTGAAGGACATGTTAAGAGAAAGACCACATGATGATATATGCGGAATTTAAAGAGCTGAACTCAGGGCAGTTGAGTAGTGACAGCTACCATGGGCTTCAGGTGGGGCCAGTGATGGGCAAGGATAAAGCTTTTCAGCTCAACAGGAGGAATAAGTTCAACAAATCTATTGTACAGAATGTTAATCCTAGTAATGATGTTTTATATTCTTGAAAACTACTAAGATAGATTTTAAGTATTCTTAACACATACATATAATCAGGTCAATTTAGGCATTCCATAATGTATACAAATTTCAAAACAACATGTACACAATAAACACATACAATTTTCATATGCCAGTTAAAAATAAACTTTTAAAAAAGTAGAAACTCACTCTATCCTTACTGGGTCTCAGTTTTCTCAAATACAGGGGGATATAGTCTCTTAGGCTTTTGAATAGTTTTAAACTTTCACAAAAATATAACCACACAATCTATTCTTAAAGTATTAATTGTAAGTATAATAGGTAAAATAAATTTTTAAAAACCAGAACAGCTCTGGTAAAGTAGGTAGAGTACTTGCTTTGGCATCACATATACTAAAACTGATCACATTAAGGACTACAGCCTAGTCAGTCAAAAGCACTGTCCACACTACTGTCTGATGGGTTTCATGGAATCCTCATAGATCCCAAACGTACTATTTGAAAACCTCCCTTCTAGAACAACAAATAATGAGAAGAATTAAGAGTGATTTTTTCACTGTGAAAAATTCAAACTGAAGAAATTTTATTTCAACTATCCCAAAACTGGCAGATTCATTAAAAACAAACATGTAGGAATTCCAATACTGACATAATTTTAATTAAAATATAAAATATATCTATCTGTATTTTGATATACAAATCTAACCATAAAAGCAGAAAAGGAATGGGTTAAAGTGATTAGAGATTTAAACCCAATTAATTCTACAATTTACATAAAATCCACTCTCACAAAATTTTATCTTGAAATTCATTATTAACTCTAATAAGCAAGTCATATTTCACTACCACCATGCACAGAGGGTGCCAAGAAGTCAGATACACACAATTCTAGCCAGAGGAGCTCCGGCCTTTTCCCTTATTCAATGAACTTCCTCAAATTCTAGGGAGCCAAACACACACACACACACGCATACACAAGTAATATAACTATACCAGTCCCCACAAAAAAGTCTAAAATAATGATAAAAACAAAGTTTATAAGCTTTTGAGCTAGAGTATAGCTCCGTGGTAGAGTATGTGCCTGGCATACATGAAGCCCTGCATATGATCCCCAGCAGCACAAAAGGAGGTGGGGGACAAAGTTTTAAACCTTAAATGTGCACTTTAGAAAGTGTACACTAATATTTTTTACCAGACATGGAAATTAAGAACAGATTAATATCTGGATCTGCATGAGAAATTGAAGTATGAGTTTAAAATCTTAAATTTACTTCAGTCATATGTAAAGCTACACAAATTAACAGAATTTGTCTTTACCTGTAAGTTAAAAATCAATTAGTTCAAAACTGAACTTACAATTTTATAATTAAAATACTCAATATGGTACAAAAGTTCATTATTTTATTTAGTCAAGAAAAGTAAATATCTTTTTAAAACCTATCAGTAAGGTGTTTGAACTACACCTTCTAACATCAACTCTTATGTTTAAAATATTCATTTGAAAATACTCTTACCTTTCTTCTGAGCTATATAAACGAGCAAGTCCAAAATCTGCAAGTTTTATCTGCCCTCTGGTGGATATAAAAACAAAATGAATAAAAGGTGGTAGTTACTCTGAACTGATTTTAGAATATCAAAAATTCATTCACAAAAACTTTAACTGATCACACTGCCGTAATACCAAGGTTCCATTAAAGTCAAGATAAGTCACAAGCTAACAATTAGTACTTTGGATAGTTTCAATTTCTAGTATTAATATAGTCATCCAATCATCTATTCATATTTACAGATTCTGAATCTGCAGGTTCAACTAACTACAAATCTAAAATATTTGAAAAAGAAAACTGTATGTGTACAGACCACATGCAGGCGTTCTTTCCTCATCATTCAGTAAACAATACAGATTACCAGCTGCTTACATAGCATTTGCATTGTATCTGGTATGATAAGTACTCTAGAGACGATTTAAAGTATATGGTAGCAAACACTTGGTTATGTGCAAACATCACACCATTTCATATGACTAGAGCATACACAGGTTTTGGTAAAGGGAAAGCGGTTGCCATGGAACTAATCTCTCAGGGATACTCAGGGACTCCTCTACTATTATTACTGCAGCTACTACTATACTAGTATTAGTATAATACTTTAGGAACTGTTCAGACCCTATTTTAAAAAATCATACTTCAATGAAAATAAGTGTGCTTACTTAGGAGTAAGAAAAATTATTAAATTCAAGTCATCAGTGTTCAAGAACTAAATCATTTAAATATTATGTTTATTTCCAGCATTTAGAGGGTATCAAGAACACAAAATATTTTGTACTCATTAAAATCAGAACCAGGCAAGCCTCTTCTAAACAATACCAAGCACTAGAGAAGTTATCAGAGCTGAGATTAAGATGTCACTGAAATATTTAACATGCTCTTCATAAATATGTCAAAACCAGCTAACTTCAAAGCACTGATGACTTTTTTAATTCTAAAAGTGATTTACAACTAAACTGAAATCTTACTGCTAATTATTGTTAGGATTCATTCATATTGCTTGGAAGACTATCAAACAGAGAGGCCAACTAAGTTCATGAACATCACAATCTACTGCTGGAAGTTAATTTAACTAAAGTATATTTAACAGAAATTTAGAGACAGCCCAAAGCTGTAACATTCTTGCTTACACTGAAACAGTTTTGAAGCAATAAACTAAATTTTAATAGAATCAAGGTATACATCATATAACTCTCACTTAAATATGTATGTCAAGCTGATATCCATACCTATTGTTTAGAAGGATATTTGAACATTTAATATCTCTATGCAAAAAGTTCTTCTTATGACAATAATCTAGACCTTCCATGAGCTGTCTCATAAATGACTTGATGTGATTTTCATTAAAATGAACCAAGCCTGATTCCAGCAGTCCCATCAGGTCATGGTCCATGTACTCAAACACCAGATAAAATGCACCTAAGAATGAGAAGAAGCAATACATTAATGCTTATTCTTACCACTTTTCTACAGGTTTTACTTTTCACAACAAACTAATGGGAAGGTTTAATCCTTCAAAAGAAGTGCTACTTTGTCAACTAAATGACTAACACTCAATTTTTCTCTCAAAGTTTAGTATCAGTAAAGATGTCCCAGGAAAAAGCTTTGTAAGGAAAATCATTACAATGAAAATAAACTGCTTCTACACTGCATAGTTTATGGGTAAGTCAAATGTAAAATAAATTGTCAATTGTTTTAGACAGCAAACAAATTCCTCACAAAAGCTGAAAAATATCAGTGCAGTTCATAGAAGAAACCAAGTTGTTAAAAGAATTACTTTTAATAAAAAGGAGCATGGTCCCAGATGTACTTTGGATAACTCCGGTTGAGCTTCTTATAAATACATAATTTATTCATTTATCCACATCCAGAGTACTTTAAAACATAAACATTACAACTTTATTTTATAAAAAAGTTTACTCCTGTTATAAAAACCTACATAAAATAACACATAATATACTCACAACCACAAATTATACAACTATATTTGAGAGTTTAAAGATATTCATACTCACACAAATTGAACACAAAAGTCTCTGAAGAAGCAAGTTTTATATAGCAATGCAAGAATAAAAGCTAACAAAACTCACTATCTGTGAAGACAAAAATTCTAACACCATGACAAAAAAGTCATCTGAACAAATTTCACCATCAGTTCCTAATTAAAAACAGAGCAAATAACTCAGTAAATTTGCAATAAGATTATTTCTGAAAAGTTTATTGTGAAATCTCTTGGAAAGCCAACAACAAATGTCATATTTAAGTAAGAAATTGCCAGGTGTTGTGTACAGGACAAAAAAACTTTTATTATTACTGTTTTCAGAAGCAAGTAGTTTAAGACAAGGTATAAATACTGAAAGGAAAATATAATTAACAGTAAATGAATATCTTCCTAGAAAATATGAAAGATATAGAGTAGCTAGGTTAGAGAAAAATCAATAAACAAAAAGCAAAAGGCTACTCATATGTGCATCAACAATTCATTATAAAATAAAATTCAAATGACTCTCCCTTAGGCAAAAAAAAAGCTGCAAATGAATAACAATGAACCTTAAAAAAATTCTTAAAATCTCAATGAAGGGATCAATAATTAGTTTCTCTTTGTTTGGGGGAGGGGCAATTTAACTTGGAAAAAAACCAGCAAGCCAAAATTTTCTGAGAATAAACACTTGCCTTAATCAAAACTAATATGACCATCGTACTCAGGGATATATATGACAGCAGAAAATAACACATATCAAAAAATAATCCCCAAGTATATTTCCAATAGTAATTAGGAAAACAGCCTCTTTGGTATTTAGACAAATGTGTAACCTCACAGGTAGGTAAGCAGTAATTTAAAAAAAAAAAAGACAAAAAAATGGTGAAAGATGTATGAAATAGGATTAGTAAAATGTGGTTTAACTACTAAAGATGAATGAGGAAACTGGGATTCATTATACTATTTTTCTGTACTTTTAAATATGTTTTGATTACTATAGTAATTATGAATTTAAAGTGTAAAAATATAAAAAGTTTAGAATGAAATTTGGATTATCTTAACTTAAAAGGATAAATTTTGTAGTCCACATTTTAAATTTGGTTTTTATGTCTATCAAGGTTATATATTTGTGTAGCTTAAGACAATGTTTTTCAAACTTTGAAACATGTCATCAATTCATTAAGTCATAAACTGCACTCTCAAAAATGTTTTTAGATTGCTTGATATTCTTCCAGTAATGAAATTAGGTATTAATAAAATCATATGTAACATAATTTTAAAAATATAGAATCCCAAGGAAAACTTCATTTTGATAATTGTGTGTGTGTGTGTGTGTGTGTGTGTGTATATATACTTAGAAAAATGTTGACTGTAAAAATTCTAAAAACAATTAATGTGTGTGACCAGTTGGTAATTTTCATTTATTTTTATGCTGAAATTTTTAGGCCTTTCTATAAGGAACATAAATAAGTTTTTTTAAAAAATTAACAATTGTTTCTGATACACAAGCTGATATGGGTAAAAACACAGATAACCCAACTAAAAGGAAATGACAATGCCATAGGCAGACAGAGGAAATCAAAATGGCAAACACATAAGATGCTTCATATTTTACCAGTACCAGAAAGTACTAATCAAAGCAATGGTATCATCTTCACTTATCACAATATGCACCAATGGCCAAATTCACCAAAACTGTACATAACACACTGCTACATCATCTACACACAGAGAGTATCTATTATAAAAATACAAATATCAGCCGGGCGTGGTGGCGCACACCTGTAATCCCAGCACTTGGGAGGCTAAGGCAGAAGGATCGCTGTGAGTTTGAAACCAGCCTGAGTTCCAGGTCAGTCTCAACTATGTAGTGAGACCCTGTCTCAAAAAAACACAAAAATACAAACATCCTTTGACTAAGCTATCGCACTTCTGGGAGTAAATTAAATACGAAAATAGTAAAGTATAAAACTAAACTCCTACAAAATAACATAGGAGAAAAACCAAGGTGGATCTTAGCTTTGGTGATGATTTTTAAAAATACAATACCAAAACTTACAGTATATTGTTAAGTTTTACTTAGCTAAAATGTAAAACTTCTGCCTTTGAAAGGCATCATTAGCAGAATGAAAAGAAAAGTCAAAGGTTGGGACGAAATCTTTACAAAAATACGTATCTGATAAAGACTGGTATCCCATACAGCCAAAGAATTCTTAAAACTCTATGATAAGAGCACAAACAGCCAAATTTAAAAGTGGGGAAAAGATCTGAATAGGAGCCTCATCAAAGAAGATGTATAAATAGCTAAGAAACATATAAAAGGATGTTCAACATGGTCTTTTGAGAACTATAAATTAAAATTAAACACCACTAAGATTTCTATTAGAACTGCAAAACTCCAAAATACTACTGTCAAATGCTGAAGAGGGTATGGAACCACAGAAAAACTCATTTGTTATTGTGGGAATGTAAACGGTAAGCCAATTTTGAAATGAGAACTTTACTAGGGGAATAAAAGACTGCACTTCTGATGGCCCTCACTAGTTGAGTAGGCTGAGTAGCCCGTCATTCACTGTTGTTAGGCAGACTCTTTAAATGCCTGCCTCAACAACCTGCTCGCAAAAAGCCTAAATTCCCTCAGGCTAGAATCACAATGTTCCTGGATTCTAAATGGGGGAAACTCACCCACCAACCCCAAAACAAGACTCTACTAAATCAGGCTAACCACCAAAAAGCTCCAAGTTTATTATCTGCAAATCCCATTTTTAATGATTTCGAAATCATGAATTTTATAAACTATAATTTTAAAATTGTACCTTTATAAGGCTTTATTCAACAAAACAGTCAATAAATATACTGCTTATAATTACAAAAATAAGTAAGAATTGCTGGCATCAAGAGCCTCATAACATCAGACTGCAAGCAAATATGCACAAAATCTGAGTATGGCGTAAGGAAGTGGGTTTTAGACTGGGGCTCTAAGACAGACAAAGACCAAGCAGGCTGCTGGGAATGAAAGGCACGCTGGGTTCAAAGGTACCTTCTGAAATGCTTTCATGAGGGTATCTAGTTAAAAATTGTAGCTATCTGGAGCTCAGAGATGGAAATATTTTTATGTAATGGTAGTGGCACAGAAACAATTATAATAAAAACCATAGAGCTATGAAGAGTTTCTGAGAAGCAGAAAGACTGCCAAAGACGTAACTTTTCAAGAACACCAATATGTAGGAAAAGAGAGGACAAGAAGGCTATAAAGATGAAGTAAACAACCAAAGAAGAAAACAAATACAGTTCTTTCAGAAGAGCCAGAAGATTCAAGAATCAAGCGAACATGTGCTACCCATATCAAGTGAGAAAAACCTGAGAAATTACTAGTGGCTTTGGCCAAATATTATTAGTGTTCTTATCTTCACAAATAGTTAGAAAACTCAGAACAATCAATGAATGTTAAAGTGAGAAGGTACAAACAGCAAGTACTGACTACTCCTTTTCTCAATCTGGCAAAAAAGGAAGGAAAAGATAGCAATGATCCATAAACAGAGTCAAATTAGCCTCTCTAGCAAATGGTGCTGGTGATACTATATACACATATCAAATCCACATCTATCACCACACACCAAAATAGAATGGATCAAAGACAAGTATTAAAACAGAATCTGCTGAGAGATAAAATACTTAAAACTATTGAAGATATAGGTACAGGAAAGGACTTTCTAAAAAGAATGGGAAAAGGTTTTGGCTAGCTATTCTTTGGACAGAGGACTATCATCTAGAATTTACAAAGAACTCATAAATAAACAAACAAACAAATCCCCTCAAAATACAAGACCCAATCAAAAAGTGGGCAGGTGAAATGAATACAGAAAGTTCTTTTTGTTTTTTGTGGTTTTTTTGGGGGGGGTGTTTTACTTATGATAGGAGAGGTCTGAATAGGTTTACTGCTGAAGGTAAGGAGCTAAGAGGATAAAGTGGTTGAAAATACACAAGCGGTAATATACAGCAAAGTTTCTAGGAACTGGAATAGCTTCAAGTAGTAAGGAGAAATGTTCCTCTGAAACAGAAGAGTGAAATGGGTACAGAGTGAGCAAAATATATGCCAAGCTCAACGTTGAGAGTGAGTTTTCATTTGGTACATGTGGCTTTGTATCATGAAACAGCATCTTCTCTTTAAAACGAGAAAAAGCAGCTAAATAGAAACTCTGCTTTGCAGAATGGAAGAAGGAGCTAACAAAAGACAAATAAGCAGCTAGCTACTGCTCTGGTGCTAAAGTTGCAGCTTGGTAGACCATAATAAATCTGAGGAGAAAACTACATACATGGCAGTATGATTTTTCTTCAGCAGGTCAAGTATTTTAAAACACATAGTCACTGGGCAAGATATCACCTACCTATAATTCCAGCACTCAGGAGGCTGAAGCAGGAAGAATGTTAAGTTGAA